CAGGGGGCTGGCTGGATGTGCTGCGTGTTCCAAACCAAAACCCCTCCTGCAATGGAGACAAGCTGGGCACTCCCTGCTCTGCTGCAGCTAATATCTGTCAGTGCCAAACAGATCCCTGGCCCTTCTTTGTGTTACACCCCAACCCTTGCACCAAGGGAACTCAGTCCAGTTATTACCTGTGCTAAGTGGGATCAGGCAAGAGCTGTCCCACGGGGAGGGAAACGTGCTCTTGTCCAACACTGTCACACTGGGGATCCCTCTCACTGTAACACAAAACTCACTTGCCATGCAAAAAGCAATGAGACTTTGAAAGGGCTGGGCAGTAAGCAAAAAAAATATTATTTAGGCCCTTATACGTCAATGAGCGAGCTGAATAAAGTCTTTAGATGCAGCAGAAATAAGTCAAAAAAAGAGTTCCAATGGTTCATAACTCAGAAATGTAATCATGTGCCTTTTCAAGCACATGAGCAATTCCATTAAACTAATCTGCTTTAATTGCATTAAGCTTAGAGAGGCTACTGCTTAAACTCAAACATATGATTAGTTATGTCCCTAAAAAAGGAATGGATAATTCAAACAAATGCTGTATGTATGCATTTAAATATTTCAAGGTATTAGATTCAGCATTCTATAAACTAAAACAAATTAGATTTTTGGCAGAAAATCTGTTCCCTGGATGCAAAACATTCTCATTAAGCCACAACTGAATTATTGCTCAAAATTATTTTGCTGAGAATCAATAGCTAATCCTCTGATAAAAGGTTCAAGTATAATCAATGACAACTAAAGGAAAATTTCATATTCTATACGTGTTCAATATGCTTCAAAAACAACACAAAAACATGATCTTAAGTAGATTGAAGTAATAAAAGGAGATGATACTAATTCTTTGCTCAGCTCTTTCCAGTTAACTGGTCTTGCACAATTAAAGTTTCAGACACTAAAAAAGTAGCTATTTTCACACATAGGAAAATTACTAGTGACCAAATACTTACTATTCAGACTGTTACAGGAGTCTATCATGCTTTAATTAGTGTCTCTGATCATAAAGTGTTTAATTGTATTCATTTTGCCTTAAATTACTGGGTATTTTGCAGTTTATGTATCATTAAAGCTTAGTCTTTTATGTAGCATGTTAAATTCCTTTTAGGGGCACTATTTTTGTTTACTTTAAACAAGCAGAGGAGCACAGCAGTGGCAGTGAGAGCAGAACAGGATGTTCAGCAGGATGGTCTCTGATGTCTCCTCTGTGACGACCTGAAGAGGCCAACAAGCCAGGAGCTGCACTTTGTTCTGGGGGAAATGGGAATGGGGAAGATGAATAATAAATTCACTTTAGGACACTAAAAGGAATTTTGCTCACAACTTTCTTTTATGTTTTGGCTTTTTAAACCTGAGGTTTGCCAGCAGCTGCCTTCCAAGCAGAGCACTGGCTCACCCTGGTGCACACTCTGCAGTCACGTTTGAGTCAGCATTTGAGAGGACCTGCTGCCATATGGAAAATCAGGAACAATTACTCTAAATAATTACATCAGTTTATTGCTGCTTGTTGCCAAGAGAAACAAGCCTTGTTGGTAATATCCACTCGCATTGCCAAGTAACTTAATTTTTCAGAAAGTAAACATGCTCCAGCAGCAGCAGCAGCTCTCCAGCAATAGACACCCTTTCTAACTGATCCCATCACGACTCAGAATGTCCCTGTTGCCAGGATTTCCTGAGGTGATCTCTGCTCAGGTGTGGCTGAGCCACCACACCTGGATTGAGACGTGCAGAGATGGTGTCTGAGCCCAGCGTGGGCTTTGCTCTGCCCCTGGGGGGAAATCAGAGCTTTTGGGGCAGCTGAGAGGAGCACTGAACAGAGGACATCAGCTGTGGCAGCAGCCAGCACAAGGAGCAGGAGCCCAGTGCTGGTGTCAGCCTGACTGAGCCCAGAGCCCCGGGACAGAGCCAGGGCAGCTCCTCTGCCACACCAGCGGAGTTTATCCTTGTCGGTGTGATTACAGTTTGCCTTTGGCAGCAGAGCCTGGCCAGAGGCCAGCCTGAGGAGGAGCCTGCTCTGTGACACCTGCAGGCTGGGATTTCTGCTTTGGGAACATCCACAGGTGTGGGGCCCCTCAGCCGGGTGCTCACAGACCTGAGCCACCAGGGAGAGAGGTGGCACTGGCACCTCCTGGAGCTCCTGTCCCTTGGGTCAGTGCAGCCAGGCCCTTCAGCTCATGGTCACTGCAGGGGTGACCCTGCTGGGAAGGTGTCTGATCTGCTGTCTGTCCTGCTGTCCAACCTGCTGCCCTGCTGGGAAGGTGTCTGTCCTGCTGTCTGTCCTGCTGTCCCAGCAGCTCACTGTCTGACCATCCTGCCCATGTACGTCCCACACCAGCTGGAAAGGACAGCACTGAAGTCCCTTTTGCTTTCTGCCCCAGGTTCACTGGACCCTGCTGGTTCTCCCCCACAGCTCCTGGCCCTGCAGCTCCCATTTTCTGCCTCTGGCAGTCTGAAAGCACAGGCCCAGCTCTGAGGGAGCCATTTCTCCTCACGTCCCCTCTGGCTGCTGCCAGAGCATTCCTGCCTCACCAAACCCCACCGTGGCACCTTCTCCAGCTGTGCCTTGGTGAGCAGGCCTGATAACCAGCTGCTGCCACAGCCCAGCCCTGCCCTCAGCGATGCCCATGGGGTGCAGCACCCAGGGGTGCCTGGCAGCCCCTTTATTCGGGGTACACAAAGCATTCTGCAGCCTTTAGGGATCCCTCCCTCAGCCTGCTCAACCTGTTCATCCAAAACCAATCCAGTCCTTCTCACAGGAACTACAAAGCTTTCTGCTTTTCTGGTCTCTGTGTTTGTCACCGGTTTGCTGTGCTGTGCACATCCTCCCTCCTGGGTTAACAGCCTGTAATCAGCTCCCAGGGGCTGTAATGCTGGAGCCACAGGGATTGCACACCATGAGGAACATTTCCCCTGCACCTGTCAGATCAGAGCCCTGCTCTGCTTTGTTCTCTTATTTCTTGGAAAATGCACACAAGGATTTCATACTAGCATATCAACTCTGTGCTATAAAGGCTTTATCATTATCTTTTTTTCAATAGACCAGTTATTTTCCCCATGGCATCCTCTGTACATAAAACTCTACTTCATCATGCCTCACTGCTATGTTAAATCAGGGTATAAACACTTCCCAGGATCTGATTTGAACATGTATTTATGCACTTCTCTTTTCAAACTTCTTTTGAGGACCCATTTCTATAATGATATGAACAGAAGAACTATTTCTCTAAGTTCTATTTACCGTCTATTGTATTTTGTTGACTTAATTTATTTCTGGGAGGAAAGCTGTTCTGTAAGAGCACATTTCCACTTAATAACTTAATGGTTCAAGTTTTCAGATGTATCAACCCTCTGATAATATTTTTTCTCCACTTTTCTCCCTGTAACTTTTGTTAGATCAAATTCTGAAACTGTAATGAGGAAAAGCCTTGGCACAAGGAGCATCTCTCAGCCAGGGTACCTGGAGGGGTCTCATTTTCACTACAGAGTTACCCCATTCCAAATCTACAGCTGATAATATTTCGGATAAGAACGTGTGCTCCTCGTTAAAGGCATTACATCTTGTTCCTCAACCAATCATTCATAAATCAATTTACTTATGTGCATACACACAGATTAAAAAAAATAGTGTGTTAGTGTGCAGGGTACAGTGTGTATTGAATCCACTCCTTGCAATACAGTGAAATATCCAAGTACATGGAACAACCTCCGTAGCTCCTCTTGTGCTTATGAGATGTGTCTTTGTCTTCATACTTCTAACAGTGCATTGAAATGGGCATTGACAACATACAGTTATTTGCTTCCTAAGCTTCTGTATTTCCTTTGTATTTCTGAAGGTCACAGGAGCTCAGCCAAACCTGAAACAGTCATTTTAATTCCCAGGCTTCTCATTTCACTACAGTGCAATTATCATATTGATTTTTGTGTAGACTTATTTACTGTTTTTCTTTTCCTGTTGGATAAGTGTGCAATAAGTAAACTAACTTCAATTAGGTAACTGTCACCAATATTTAAAACTTAATGACAATTTCAAAAGTACATAAGTAATCCAAGCATAAAAATTATTTTTTATGATACCATTTCAGAACAGTGGCACCAAATCCTTATCATACAATAACCTGTGCCTCAGAAACATTAAACACAAACCATCATCACATTTTTCTGCTACCTAAGTTCCATATTCTTTTATTTATATACAGTGTCATTTCTCTATTTGGACTAAAGCTTCTTTAGGAGATACAAAACGGAATATTCAACATCCTAATTTAGCCCTGATATATTAAATTATCTTCTTAGCTACACACATGTAATCTCTCTGTATATTTCAGAGATCAGAATTTGTCCTTGTAATTCAGAGGTATCTCTGTGAGTGCCTTACATTTCCCCTCCAGACTTGCTAGTGCTATTTCAAAGATGACTCACTCCCAGAGGCCACCACCCCAAGAGGCTCCAGGCACTATGAAATAAAGATCTGCTTGAATTTAGGCACACATTCAAATCCAGTGTAAGTCTGTGTGCTTTGTAATGTCAAGAGAGTCTTAAAGATAAGCATATGCCTACATATTATACTAAATATTATACTGAACTGGGGCTAGAAGCAAGGTCTGTCCTCAGAAGGAGCAGAAGAGTTGCAATAACCCAGTACAGATGGATGATGCTCTGTGAAATTCAGCTTTTGACCGCAGCAGGAAGAGGAAAGTCTCCATTTACAAAAGGGAAAACAATGAGCCAGCAAATGCAATAGGCAGGGAAACACTTCAGCCCAGCTGAGCCACAGGTTTCACCCCGTGCAGCGTGCAGCTTTAATAAACACAGGCTAGCTGGCTGCATTCAAGGGACCTTAAACACCTTTAACAGTGTTTGCTCTCTGAAGAGGGATGGTGCCAGGGCTCTGGGAGCAGCCCATGGTGTAACAGTGCTCCTGGGAGACTGGTGCTGTCATTTCAATGAGAGGAACTTACTTGAAGGCATTAGCATCCCCATGGACCTTGTAGTTGTCTGCGCTGATCCTGGAGATGACTCTTGTGACAGCGATGAGAATGCCGATGTTGACCTGAGGAGGAGGAGGAGGAGCGAGCCTTGGTCAGGAGCCCAGGGGCAGGCTGCCCTGGGGTGTGGCACCAGCCCAGCAGCCACCAGAACCTTCTGTGCTGGCTTTATTTGCCAAAAGAGGTGCCAGGGCTGGGCTGCGTCACCGATTCCCAGCCCACAGCTTCTCTCCCTCCTTCAGCAGCTCCCCTGCCTGGTCAGGGAAACCTGGATGGGTGCATTGCCCACGGCCAAGGTGCTCGGGATCCCCACACACAAATCAATATTTTGAGTGTAAATCGATACCCTGACGGTAAATCGATATCCTGAGTGTAAACCGATACCCTGACTGCAAATCAATACGCTGTCAATCAATACCCTGAGTGTAAATCAGTACCCTGAGTGTAGATCAATACCTTGATTGGATATCAATACCCTGCTGTAAACCAGTACCCTGACTGTAGATCAATACTCTGACTGTAGATCAGTAAACATCCCGATTGTAAATCGGTACCCTGACTGTAAATCAATACCCTGACTGTAGATCAATACCTCGATTGGAAATCAATACCCTGCTGTAAATCAGTACCCTGACTGTAAATCAATATCCTGATTGTAAATCAGTGAATACCTTGACTGTAAATCAATATCCTGACTGTAGATCAGTAAATACCCTGACTGTAAATCAGTACCCTACTTGTAAATCAGTACCTTGATTGTAAATCAATAAATACTCTGACTGTATATCAATACCCTGACTGCAGATCTGTCAGTCTTGGGTACAAGACCATTTTAAAGGAGCAGTGAGAAAAATATGGTAAATCTGAACTGTGCTCTTCAAAGGCTTTGCTCTTTTTGATGTCAGGTCCAGCAGAAACATCAATAAAATGAAAAGAATTCCCAAGAGAAAAGCAGGAAATCTTGAAAAGACTAACACTGAAAATGTTCAACAAAGGAAAGTTTGTGCTGGAGTCACAGGTGAAGGAAGAAGGAAATCTTTATCTCTTAAAGGAAATGTGGCAAAGATTGTCTTGCTGGGCAAAGACCCTGGATTTAAAAAGAAAAAGGTAGACAATGGGAAGGTGAAAGACACATTTCCCCCTTCCTGTCCAAAGTTGCCCATCACCTACAAAGCATCAAGAACAAGGGTAGAACAAAACTATCCTGAACTACAGAACAAAAAGAAAGAGAAGACTTCAAAGAAAGCGCTGTTCCTCAGTTAAAACTCGATAATTGTCCTCTACTTTGACATAAATATTCTAACTCTGAGGACGAGAGGGTGAATAAAAGGTATTTAAATTTGATTATAATGATTTTCTTGGGTTTTTTTCCCAAATCTTCTGACCCCTTTTTTATTTTAGGTTTCTAAGGGCAGATCATCACGTGCTGTAGAATCAGAGCATATCTGTAATAGTTTATTTCTGCCATGGCTCTTGAGTTTATTCAAGGGCCATCCTGTGGAACTGCCAGCACCTCAAGTGTTCCTGTTGCTCAATCAGCTTTACAGAGATAAGAGGTGAAATTCACTGGTCTTGGGACCATTTTCCTTATTGCTACCAGATCATATTTTGTAAATAAACTCTGTAAATCCTTTGAGGTGGTAACGGGCACATTTGAGAGAGCCATTTCTGTGCTGTGCTCAGAGCCTTGCCAATGCTCACTCGGACTGCAGCACCAGGAAAATTCAATTTGCAGGGACAGAAACAGAGAGGCTTTGCCCCTGCAGCCCAGGGTGTGCTGCTCACCCTGCCTGCAGCCCAGGGTCTGCTCCAGGCACACAGAATTCCCTGAACTCTGCCCCATCCATGGAAACACCCAGGCAGCACATGGCTGATGACAAACAAACCTTCTGCCAGACGTTTAATGTCTTCTGCCAGACGTTTAATGTCTTCTGCCAAAAATTCAGGTGCTTTGTCAGGTTGGGTTTTCCCCCTTGACTGAAGACACGTCCCAGACACTTGGGCTGAGCTCAGTTTGGTTTGCAAATTAACTGCAAGGGCTTTTTGTGAAGCTGCTTTAGGAGGATGATGTAGAGGCTTGTGTGCTGTGTTTGGGGTGTGGGGGACAGTGATCTCAAAGCCTGAAGATGTAGGTAGAAGCCAAAAGACCTACATATAGAGGGAACTATTTCCTTCACCATACCCCTTGACTCAAGCCCCGAGGAAGGAGCATATTTGGTGTGGGAATCTGTGTAGGGCTGGGAGGTTCTGTGAATTACTGCCTAGAAAAGAGTGTGAGAGTGTTCCTCCCCTGTCACAGTGCCCCCACATCCCTCTGCTTTAGGCTCCGTGGTGTCTGGGGTGCCTGTGAGGCTGGGCAGGATAAATGTGGATGGGCTGTGTCTGCCTGGTCTCTGGGGAGGGGGAGTTGAAAGGAGCAACCCCCTGTTTTCCTCACAGCATAATCCTCTTTCTTGGCAGAGACACTGCTGATTGAACTAGTCAAAAACTGCTTTTTGAGAAGTATTTTCAGACTTAAATGCTAGTTTATGCAGCTGGTGGCTAATTTGTTATTTAAAGAACACAGGCACACATGCACACACACCAGATAGTGTTTAGCCCTGTTATTTCCCTATAGGCACCAACACATTTTTCAGCTGGAATTTCCAATACCCAGAGAGGTAATTTGTCAGCTCTCTTGCTGCTATTTTGGGCAGAGCTGGGTTTAGACTATTTAACAAATTGCTCTACGTGGATCAACCTTGTGAGCTCACTCTCTCTTTCTGAAAGTATTTGCATCCCTACAAGAACATAATTTGAGCTGCACAAATGTTATATATCATAAGTCAGAGCCGCCAGTTAAACTCTCACTTTCTCTGCCAGGCAGCTGCACATGCAGACTGCAGGAGGCTGTGCTGGCTCAGGTGTGATGAGTGATGAGCATCTCACTACCTGTGTGTTTTGGTGACCACCATGCTTGGGCAGCAGCTGGGGAGGTTTGGTGCCACTGACAGCATCTCACTTCCTCCTTTGGTGCCCAGCAATGGCCAGAAAGCAATGCTAACGTGAGCAGAGGACATTTGAATATTAGATTATTTTAACTGCTCTCCAATCATCTATACCTACACACCTTGGAATGCAAACTGAGGTGCTGACCCCTGGAGTGAGCACAGCTGCAACTCCCTGCAATTTCACACAGGAGCATCATTCTCCACCTGCTGTGCAGTGTCTGTGTGCCAAAACACTGCAGCTGTGACCCTGCACCCCTGGGAAGGGGCAGCTCATCAGAGCTGGACCCAGACAACTCACCTGGGCAGCCCTGCAAACACACCTGACAGCCTTACCTGAGCCCAGCAAACTCAGCTGGGCAGCCCTGCTCAGCCACCCTGCCCTGCCTGAGCCCTGCAAACTCACCTGACAGCCTTACCTGAGCCCAGAAAACTCACCTGGGCAGCCCTGCTCAGCCAACCTGCCCTGCCTGACCCCAGCAAACTCACCTGGCAGCCTTTCCTGAGCCCAGCAAACCCACCTGCCAGCCCTGCCCAGACCTGCCAGCGGTGCCTGTACCTACCAGAATGACAAACATGGCTGGTGCCACAAAAGCCCAGATTGCTCCGTCCTCCAGGGAGAGCCAGCAGCTGCAGGGAGAGCAGAGTTGTTCCAGAGGAAACACACAGCATTTAATCAGTAATGTCATTAATTTAAAAAAAACCCCAACTTATAAAACAACCAAAAGAGAGTGCAAGAAGGTGATGAATTTTGGAAGGAAGAGAATGCTAGCACGCCAGGACAGGGCTCCTTCTCCCCTGACACTGGGACCCAAGGTGGGTCTCACCTGTGTTTGTCACACAGTCAGTGACCCCTCCCCAGCCCAGCCCACCCTCACAGCAGTGCAAAGATGGGAAATGTTTTATTTGCAATTTGCTGCTCTGGTGTCCTCAGCTACAGGCTGTTTCAGGGCTGCAGCACTCTGAAATGTCTCATTGCAGTGAATTTATCTCATTGCAGTCCCCCTGCCTCCCCTGAATGCTGGTGGGGAAGGGGCTGGCAAACACAACCAGGCTCTTCTTACAGCCCTGAAGAGATGGACCACTTTACCACCTGCAAAATTATTTTAGGATTAAATCCTATAGTGTTCTTTCAGATAATTTTGCTCTTCTTTTTCTAAATTAGAAAGGAAATTAATTTTCAACGTTCTGGACATTATCCATTCCAGATTTAAGGTGTGTAACTGCAGTTTTCTTTGGAAGATTGGATATCTTTAGTCAATGATTTCTCTCATTTTGGTGCAAGCTTTCCCCCTGAGCAGGGAGCTCACTGAGGAGTGAAAAGCAGGAAAAGACCTCAGGAGCTTTCTGTGCATCATCTCTGCGAGAAGCAGACATGAGGCTCCTGTGTTTAACAACATCTCTACACAAGTCGTCCTCTCGCAGCCTCTCTCTGCTGCTCCTCAGGGGGATGTGCAGCACCACAGCCCAGTTAACACATTCACAGGTTTCCAGCCCCACGGCACCGGCAGGAGGGGTTTCCATACTCACTTGCCACTTTCTCCATAGCTGTCCAGGGACGAGGAGGCAGAAATGACACAGATCACCAGTGGGCAGCCTGCAGCAGGGCAGGGAAAGGCAGATCCAGAGGCATTATTAGGAATAAAAGTACATCTTCCAGTGAGCCCTGCAGGGTCTGCTAAATTTTGTATGAACAGCTCAGAGCCATTTTCAAATTTAGTCTAACTTGACATCCTCCTGCAGCTGTTTAATCCAACATTAATTAACTGATGTCAGACAAAATGACTTTTTAATACAGAACTAGTTTAACTGTTAAACGGGATCAGTGCTAATTTCCCTGGGAACCACAGTCCTGTTCAAGCCTGGGTTTGGTTTATGGACGTTCTGCCTCCTGCTCTCCAAGCAGTGCTACATGTGAAGCAGTTTCAGCCTTATTTTAACCTCCTTTAACCACTGCCAGGTCCTGCTGGGCCACTTCATTCCAGGCCAGGAGCTGGAGAGGAGGCCAGAGATTTATTGCCAGCAGTTCTGAATGCAGTGAAAGCCATCCCTTCAAATATTAAATGATTGCCTGCTAATTCCTGTATGATTTAATAAAATGTGAAGGTTTGAGCTTTGATCATCTTACAGAATTTAATAAACAGGTCCCAGACAGAGTATTAGACATGATAGCTTAAAGTATCAATTTTCTTTTTAATTCTTTAAGTTTTCTGCATGAGGGTTTTGCAAAATTCTCTGACAGGCAATTTCTGCTTAATTTTACCACTATCATCCTCACAAATCATGTAAAGTTTTCCAGTACTGTCAGAAGTATCATTTTTGGAAAAAGTATTTTCATTCTTTAATAACTGCAGCTAGAAGCACATTTATAGATATTTAAATATTTATATGAAAATATATATTTATAAATATGGGGTATTCTTAGTAATTAAGAAGCATTGTATTTTGAAAGCTTCTGTGACTTCTTTACAAGGAAAAACCCCAAAGAATACAAAAAAAACAGGCTGTAGAAACTCTGTGGCATATAATTCAAAACAATTTTAAGACATCAATTCTTAAAGGCTAAGTATGTCATTTATTGAGAAAGATGATAATTTATTGAGAAAGATAAAGCACTAGACACAACAGAAAGTGTATTTCCCTCCAATGATGAAAATATCTACTTTGCTTGGTGGGGATGAGTATATTCTCCCAATTTATATTGGGAAGCTTATTTTCTATGATTTTCTTCTGCTGTGTTACCTCAGATCTGGGCAACAAATAACAGGAAATTATGGAATTTCTGTCATTTGACAGCTCAGAACCAAGTCTTCCCTCTGTGGCAGTTTCTGCAGGAAAGGAAAGTGGCAGAAGTGGGAAAGCATCCAGCACCACAAACTCTGTAACCTGCAAACGGAGGGACAAGAAAGCTTTGCTACAGCAAAGCACCAGCCCATGAACTCTCCTGACACTCCTGTGCCTGCTTTTCATGCATGACTGTGCGGGATGCAGACGGAACGAGCCGCTGGTGTGAGTGAGAACCAAAGAAGGAGCACAGCAGGGAGGGGAGAGATCCCTCCCTCGGAGCTGCACTGATGCGATAATCGAGTTAATCAATAATGCAGAGGTTGTGGCTTTCCCTGCACTGGGCTGGCTCAAGGGCTGCACCTTCTGAGGTCTGATTGCAGTCAGAACAATGCTGCATTTTCTCATCCAACAGACCTGCTCTCAGTAAGGCAAACTGTGATCATAAGATGACAATTTCAAATGTGCTTCTGAATATAATCTCATCCTATAGTGAGGAGACTTAAAGTAAGCAGCTACTAAATGCTTACCCCATCCAATTCCATAATAATATAAGTGCTTGCTTTCTTCTGACCCAAATACTTTGATCACCATGCTGTAAAGATGAAATCCTTCCACCAGCATCCAGGCAAACGCACTCAGGAAGAAAAAATGAAGGAGAATGGCCAATATCTTGCAAGGCAGCTAAATTAGGAGTAAAAATGAATACATTACTTCTTTGTGATACAGCCACATCAGTTTTATTTTTTTTAAACTTCTATAGACATTTACAGGCTAAATGCTAAATCACTGGAGTAAAACTGTCTTAGAAAGCAATAGACAATTTCATTTTTGTATTGCATTTGAAATGTTGGGACTTGGTAGTGCAATGAAAATGGAGGTTTTCCTGCCCAGACAGGTGCAAGGACATTCTAATGCAAATCCAATGGGACTACCTGTGTTCAAAAGCAATAAATTTGGGGTTAATTTGTGTAAGTGAGGTCTGTATGTGGTCTAGTATTTCACAAAGTTCAGTGACATATTATTAAACCAGATTAGCTTATTGACAAAAGCTGTAAGAGCCTTTCCAGTTAATTTTATCATAAGGCTATAAAATCCACTTTAATGCCTTTTGATTTCTACCAGAAGATTAGTCCACAAAAATCTAAATGCAACATAAAGCTGACGTCCAGGCTAGTTCTGTCAAATGGATATTTTCCAACTTTAGAGTAGCCAAACAATATGAATCACAAAGCAGCAGAAAAATGGCACACAGTGAATTAGCAGAAGGTTGGTCTGTATACAATTTTGTGTAGTACCTGCTTACAGATTTTACATAAAACCCATAGCAAAGTTGCTGCTCATTCTGGTGAGGTTTTCTGCCCTAATTATTGCTTAGCAGTTACTGTTGTATGGCAAAATTGCCTTCTGTAAAAGCACTGATGAGCTGAGCCTTCACACACTGAACCCAAGCATGTCTCGCTTGCTGCACCCCGTAAAACACCCACTTTTAGCAGAACGCCCGTAAAAAGGCAGATCTTGCTCCTGCTACTCCTAGAGGTGACAGCTGGAGGGTCTGTGCAAACAGAAACAGCAGCCCAGCCAGCAGCAAGGTCTGTCCTGCTATTGCTGGTGAGAAGGTGAAGCAGGCTTTCAGAAAGGCCAGACAATATTTGTCATTTCTTTCCTGAGGACAGTCTTAAAACAGATAGGTAATTTTACAGCTATATCACAAACAAAAGCAGCTTGTTTCACCTCTCCTTTTGGATGTTTCCAGCAATTCCAGGCAGGAGTATTGAGTGAGAAAGAGATAAATACCCCAATCCAGAACTGCAGATAGTAGAGACATTAGATTTTCCTGGTTGTGCTGGAAAAAACCCAGGGCTGGCTGACACCTTATACTTCAATTTTCATTTTCCTGCGTCTCAATAATGTAAAGACACAAAAAGACATCCTGATTTTGGGACGAATTGCCTTCCTGGAATATGTCCTGATCAGTTAACTATTGAAGATAGGTGTCAATGACCAGCTTTTTATAAATAAATGAATAAATTAGGTGTACTTGAAAGTTTAAAGTCCTGTTTGTGAAGATAGAGCTTTATGGTTAAAAATCATTATTATCCTACAAAAGAAAAAAAAATCCACTGTTATTCTACAAAAGAAAAATTGCTGCAGAATGAATTGTAAATCATTAAATAACGCAGCTGAGAATAGCAGGGGATGCTGTGTGCCATATCTGCAATCAAAGCTGCAATATCCCCAAGACAGAGAGGGGAAAGGATGGGCAGGCCCAGGGCAAGGAGGGGATGCCAGCTGGGGCAGGGGGACACAGAGGGTCCTGCAGGGCACCCAAACAGCCCAGCCCCTCACTGCAGCCCTGGCACAGGCACAGAGCACACACTGACACCTGCCAGTGCAAACACTGCCTCCCTCTCTCTGCAAACCCGCTCAGCAGTCCAATTACAGCTGCAATTAAAGGTATTTAGGCTGCTGTCAGAGCTAGTCAGGAGTGGGTAACAACAGGAGACCAATAAAGGATGAATCACAACCCCCCGGACTCCAAGAGGACAAAGCATAAAAATAAAAGCCCAGCAGACAGTATTTACATCAGGTCTGTCAACTTTCAGATCTTCATAGAGTTATCCCAAACAATTACAGCTCTTATAGAGGAGGCAGGGCTAAAAAATCCCTGGATTCTGTGAGGTATTTCATTTCCCAAAGCCTGGGGTGTAAAACAGCTGTCACTTCCTTGTGCTGCCATCCCAATTTCACCAAAGCAGGTTTGGGACAGGTTTAAGGGGAAATCTGCACCCACCAAACTGCAGCCTGAGCCTGTGTGAGAGCTACACAAGCTGGGCTAAGCAGGGCCTGAGTGTGACCAAGGCAGGTCCTGAATGTGGGTGCTCTGGGGCTGGTACCTGGAGAACGTGGCTCCTCCAGCCCACAGCAGGACACACAGCTGGAGCTCCATCCCACAGCAGGGCACACAGCTGGAGCTCCACACAATAGCAGGACACACAGCTGGAGCTCCATCCCACAGCAGGGCACACAGCTGGAGCTCCATCCCACAGCAGGAGCTACACACCAGGAACAGACTGAGGCCCTGCTGAGCTGTAAAGAGGCTTTCACACACCATCTGAAGTGACTCAGCCGAATTGTCTGACAATTTGGGATGGGTGAAAAAGAAAGCCCTGTGAGAATCCCTCACACTGTCATGCTGGGTGAACCTTCCATTGCCCTCAAGCCCATGTCCTTTCAAGGGGGTTTTAGCTCTCTACTTAAAGAGGATTATTTTCATGCCTGGTTTCTACTGTCTTCAGTTTCATCTTTTGCTGCTCTCCAATGTCTCAATTTCATTTTCCTTCTGAACCATCCCCTCTCATTTTCTCCCTTGCACATTGCATGACTCATTCAGGACCCACCCGAATGTTAAACAGCAAAAGAATATGAACTTAGTTTTCCAAAGTGCTTTTAGGTCCTCAGGTAATGACTGCCTGTGCAAACCAGGCATTACAGTTATTTATAAACGTAGCAGAAATTCAAGGGATCCCATTTGAGCTGAATATAAATTTAGGTAGCTGTTGTATTGGCAAAATGAACAATGTTCAAACCTCATATTTACTTCTACTGAGAAAAAATACCACCACCACCCCCCCCAATAATAGAAACCACTGGCTGCTTCTGAAAAGCAATGTGGAGCAGCAGCTGGTCACAAGGCTAGCCGAGTTTTTACCAGCAAAAACACAGTGGAAGTTTATTGTAAAATCAGGTTTTGCTTCTGCTTTTCAGGTAGATCTTTCCATCAAAGACCTCGTGTTACTTTAAATTGCGTTTTTAAAATTAACAGGGGAAAGAAATTGGGTGTAGTGGTGTGTGATGCAGTTAACTTGGCCTATTTGCCTTGCTCTAACTGGGCTGTTTTGAGTGCCAGTTTAATGGAGCTGGTGCCCTGCCCGAGGAGCTCCCCTGCAGCAGGATGGCGTTTCTGGCTAGGGTGTGTTAAAGCCCAGATCTCCCCAGGCCGTGCCCGTGTCCCACCCCGCCTGGGGCTGCCCCAGGACCCCCGAGACTCACGGTTGC